AACACTAGCATCATATATTAAGTGAACAATGAATATCATTGAAATACCTGTAGGTTGCACACTAAAAAAACATCCTAATGAAAGTCAGATCAGACATGTTTACCTGCACAGGACGAACATCAAAAGCAGGTCGATTAGCAGGATCTTCTGCCAATTGCAATAATCTCTTGTGCATTAGCACATCTTCTGCTCTATCCACATTCACATCCAATGCATACCTATATATATATCCCGACTTAAAACAATGTCTAAGTTGTACGTGTATATATCCTGACTCAATTAGCAAAGCATATGCGAAATAGGTACCATACCAAAAGTAACTTTAGAAAAGAAAAGGAAAACCAAACAATTTAAAATAAAGGGAAATGACAAAAGGCAGCAAAAAGATAAACAAAAAATCGAAGACTGACTGTAGCATTTTCTTTCCTCCCAGTCTAGTAACAACAGATAACTTAAAATAATAACGAAAATAGAGATTGAGACTCGGAATCTCAAGCCAAGTGGAGGATTCGAGAATCTTCACTAAAATTTTCCTACCATTTCTCAGCAACCAAACAAGAATTTTGGAAGGCAAAACGAAGTTCCTAAACCAACATTAAGCGAAAATTTAGTAAAACGAGTACCTAGCGGGCAGTCGATTGAAATGAAGCCAGAGCTGATCATCAAAACCAGGACGATACGCTTCTTCGTAATTGGATTCCTGGATTCGCCTAAGCACTTCATGATAAACCTCCAGTTTTTGCCTGTGCCGAGGATTCACCTGCGCCCGCGAGTCCACAGCTCTACTTCCGCAACTCTCAGTATCCTCCTCAATCGCCATGGGAGAACAAAGAGTACCGAAGCGACGGAATCACAGATACAGAGGAATTTCCTAGGCCTTGAGATTCAAAACTGCGAAGTACATGAAAAGGATTCAGAGCGCCGAATTTCGAACAATTGAGGAAACGGATTAAGGAAATGAGAGAGAGAGAATAGAAGAGCGCCAGGGAAAACGCCAGAGAGAGATGCTGGTTGGGTGTGTCTTTCTCTCAGCCTCAGGTACTGGGAAGTGTGTTTTTTCGCACTGTCCGGTGGTTCCCACGTCAGCTAGGGTCCACGTGTCGCCAAGAGTTTTAGCGGATAGAAATGAAGAATAAGTCCCAATGACGTATTCAAAAAGAAAGTCGAGGTGAAACAAATGGGCCGGGCCGGGCAGGGCCGTCTGGACCAGCCTGGACTGAAAAAAGAAAAATTAAAATAAATAGTTTCGATTTTAAAATCCCGAAATTAATTAAATATTTTTTTAAATTATTTTTTTTTACAATTTACAACTTAGGAATGAGAAATTCAAACCCCCAATTCAAGATGTACCTTACCATAACTGAAATGTATTTAACGATAGGTGTAGAGCCATTGGGTCATAAGGCTCACGTACAAAAAAAATTTCATAAATTTTCATTTCACGTTTTCAATTTTAACTTTTAATTAGTAATTTCGATCTTGACAATAAAAATTAAAAAATCAATTTCTGTTCAAGAAGATGGAGATAAACCCCTAATGACGTAAACTATTAATCCTTAACACTAATATGCTAATAAATATCTTAGCAATGATGCAACATGTCATATCGAACAGAATTTTTTACTATGTTTAGAGATAATGATAACTTAATTTAAAATAATAAAAATGTAATTAAAAATTGAATAATATTATTGAGATAATTTTTTTATCTTATTTTTTTATATAATTTTTACATATAATTAAATAAATAGATATATTTAATATCATAAATTTCACATAAATTAAAAAATTAATTATTTTAATGACACATCAAATTATATAAAAAATAAAATAAAATAATTATACCAAAAAAAAAAAATATTTTCCCTTCAAAACTAGATAATTAAGGAAATTTTGGGATAAGTACACCCGTTTTATGTGGACTAGATCTGAGATCACGAGGAGCCAACGGGAATGCTAGATGGTGATCAAGTGGCTATGCGGCAAGTTGTCCATGTAAGTTAAATTATATTGGTAATTATTAGTATTAGGCAACTGAAGCTATTGTCACACAAAAAATTTGTAAATTTATAAATATAAAATTTTTTAAATAGTTGATTAAAATATTTTTTAAAATATTAATTTTAGACTGAATTTAATATATTAAAAGTAAATAAAATTTGTATTTTTAAAGATATAGTATTAAATAATAAGAAAAATACTTGTCAATTAAGTT